GGGCACCCCTGCCCCGGGACAGGGGGTGCCGGGGAGCAGCCCCGGTTGCACAGACCTCACCCGCACTCTCCCCGGTCTTCGGGTGTTACAGAGGTGCGGTTTTTTGTATGTTTGGTGTGTTTTGTTCTTCCCTCCACCCCGCTTTTATGAACATGGGAGTGCATGAGAGCAAAGCAGAAAATTATCTCCTCAGGGGGTCCTCTTGTCACCTGGCACCGGACGCTGTTTAACCAGATAATCTGTTTATTTCCAAGCACCCTGCGTGCTCTGAACGGCAGGACTTTAAAATATTTCTCTTTGCTCTCTCCCCGCTACCTGCATTAAAACCATCCTCAGAATAAAGGATGTAATTATTTGCTCCCCCAGCCTGCTACGTTTCTACACCACCCTCCCCTCCCTCTCCCCCCCTCCGGCCCCAGGACATTAATCTCCTGGAAGATTTTTCTCAGTATGGAGGAGGTATTTCCCGATGTACGGCAGAATTAGATCCGTTTAGTTTTATTCCTGCCAGAACTGGTCATTTCGGTGGGGCAGTTGCAAAGTTCTGTACTGTGCAAATAACGCGCCCAAAAACTACCCCTGTTGCATCTGCCTGGAATAATTCTTCCTCCTGATACTGTGCTCCTGAGCTTTCATCTCCCACATGAGCACGTTACATTTTTCTGCCTTAGTAATAGTTATCAAGGCTTGTAAACAATTAATATAATGCTATATTGAGTCTTCTGTTAATTTCAGAGACAAGTTCTTAACACAACATGGCAGTCTCTGTGTTAGTTTGGGAAGAGGGACTAAGTACCTTAGACCTTTGAAGATGGGGAAGAAAGTCTGGAGTGAAAGTAATGAAAAAAGCCCAAACAAATAGGAAGGTAAAAAGAACAACAACAAAAAACAACCAACAAAACCCCCATAACAAAAACCAACCAACCAACAAAACCTGCCCAACCAAAAAAACCAACACAAACCCCCCTGTAAGTTTTACACGACCTTAGCTTTATATGGCTTTATGCTAGTTCTGGTATCATTCCATTCTAAAAATAGAAATAGTGAAAATAGCAGATGGTTTTGGGATCCAATATAATCTGTGTTGCAGAAAGATCTGTCCTGGCAATCAAAGTGCAAGCTGTTTTAACAGAGAGTCAGCGGTGGGAATATCAAGGAAGCAAATTTGGTTCCAAAGAATTAGACCAAATTTTCCAGACAAGTTATTAACTCGAGGAGAACAACTTCTCTCTCTCACCCGTTTTGCTTTTATTTGGCCTCTTTACAACATTTGCCTTACGATCCTTAATGTATAAATAGGCAAGGAAAAATTGCTCCAAATTCGTAGCAGCTTTATTTATTAATGTAGATTTTATGAGGAATGCATGCACGGTTCCTCCACTGTACTGTGTTCCATGTGTATCTGTATTTGCACCGCATCTCTGTAGATCTGGGTATATATCTGTCTCTGCATGCATATTATTTGATTAATACTCCTTATTGTTTATATCCATAAGAAAACAATTTCTCTAGTTTCCTCAGGGCTAGCGAAATGAATAGTTGAATATAGGCAATATGAAAAAGAAAGTGTGGGGGAAAAAAACAACCAACAAACCACTCAAAACTGACAAACATACAAAATGTCTGAGGATGAGACTTCTTTCTTGAACCTAGATGCCTAGAACATCCTCACGTGAATCTCACGAGTGGTGGAAAAAATACCTTTGGCTAAGAGCAGCGGGTTTTATATTCTGAACAAAAATTATTATTTTTTTAACCTGAAAATATAGATATTTGGGATTAATACATGCATTAAAGATTCCTACAGTTCAGTGCCCACATAGGGACATTTATAATATATCATCCCAAATCTTTGTTTATTTAACGATCGCTGCTCAGTGACCATTTTAAAGTAACGAAAAGCCTGACGTCGGCAGTTCCCCCGCAGCGGTGGGGACAGTCCCCGCAGCTCGCCTTCCTCCTGGCCCTCCCGCGCCGGGATGGTGGTGGGGAAAGTGCTGTGCAGATGGGCGAAAAGCGGAGTCAAAACGCGACCGGCAGGGCAGAAACCTCCGGGAACCCGCCGGGGAAGGCGGCAGCGGCCGCCGACCCGCCTGCAGCCCCCCGCTGCGGGGTCCCGGGGGTGGCACCCCGCAGCCCGCGGCTAGAGCACACCGAGGGGAACCGCCGGACACCGGTGGCGAGAACTGCTGAGAAAAAAATTAAAGTAGCATCCAAACTCCATGTTAACCAGCGGAGGATAATCCTCTTTATCTTAATAGCAGCACTGGGTTTAAATCGCCGAAATCTGGTGCGATGGGTTTCACCGGGCGAGCCGAACAGCCCGGTGATATGCACCGCTATAATCCGTGCTGGACGGGGAGACCGTCCCCGTGCCAGGCAAAGAGTCGGGATCTGTGCAGTCTCCTGGTGAAAAACATGCCAACTTCAGAGGAATGAGTTTTCCAAATTTAAACAAATTTTTTAGCCAAGCTTCATAAGGATACTTTTAAGGATGCTGAAAACTGAACAAACCTGAAATATATTGAAAATAATGTTTAAGGATTAGGGAGTGTATTAGGGAGATCAAATATGATGCTTTTTTTTTTTGTTTTGTTTTGTTTTTTGAACATATATTAGCTCCCCAGTGGTACTTGTTACAAGCCCATAAAGATACACTGGAAAAGCGCAGTGTTTCGGAAAAACGCCCTGCCTGCACGTGGTCCGTTTGCTAATATTTGGTACCACAATGCCATCTATTTATATGGAAATCAGGACCATCACCTCCCTTAAATGCATCTCTAACTCGGCATGACAGGGACAGAGGTAATTAGCTGTCCTCAGACTGTCCGGTAAGCCTTCGATGTATAAATTGCCCATTCACTCAGATGTAAATTATTCTTAGCATCCTATCTCTTGTAATAAATGCATTATTATGAACATGTGAACGGAATAGGAGGAAAAGGTAGTGTGAACCTCACGTTTTTTTTCAATTAACGGACTAGATATGCCGGGGTCATGCCACCTCCTCAGAAGGATACACGTTTCCAGTTTGCCACAGGGAAATATTTCCTGCATTCCCCTTGGGCTGCTAAGGCAAGACTGACGCACTGAGTGTATACAGAAGAGCAAGCGTACCTTGCCTTCTCTGTAATATACCTACATGGAGAGTTACTGCTTCTCCATTTGCACTGTGCAGAGAGCATAACCAATATAAAAATGGTTATCTGGGTTATCCTGCTAGAACAGAAGGGTGAGATCTTCATAGGGGCATCCGTGTTCCTCATCTCCACTCCCATCCTCATCTTCCACAGTCTAAACTAGCATCCCACAGCTCTGTATGATGGCCCATCATTTCTGCCTGACACAGCCATTCTCATGGGGAGAACTTCCCTTTGCCATGATGGCTGTCAGGCTGTGTGCTGCCAGGGTCTTACATTTATTTCCAGCTCCCATTCTGGTGGGCATAGTGGCTTCTCACTCAGCAGCGGCTTGCTTGGACTCTGACTCCTTTCTCAAGGTGGGTAAATTGCACTGACAGAGTTTGTCTTGAGCTGATCTGTTCCACGCTAAACTTAGCCTGCTGCATGGGGAAATGACCTGCCTGTCCTGAGGTGAAGGGGAGGCAGGACTGCCCGTGGTGAGCAGCGACGCTCAGGCACTTGCATGCCTTTAACTTGTGCCATCTCGATAAGGGAGGAGCGATCATCAGCACATTTTGGGAACCTTTACTTGCTTCTTATAGCTTCCTTATCTAGTTGGGCTGATCAGCAGGGGGTTGGGAAACTGAGAAAATGGTTGTATTGGTTCCTGAAGATAGTTTTTCATGTATGTATGTTCAAAAGCACTGCCCTGTGCAGTTAAAGGAGGCTCTGTCAGCCACAGCTTGGAC